CTAAACCCCAAACCCTTAACCCTAAACTCTAAACCCTAAACCCTAAACCCTAAACCCCAAACCCTAAACCCTAAACCCTAAACCCTAAACCCTATAAACCCTAGACCCTCACAAGGCTCTACGGTGAGGTTTAGGGTATCCGACTTGGGGTCTGGCTTTGAAGCTTTGGCCTCTGGGGCTTTTGGGTTGTAGGGTTGGGGCTTTGGGGTTTATAGGGTTTAGGGTTTAGGGTTTAGGGTTTAGGGTTTAGGGTTTCGGGTTGGGGAGTACATTTTGGAGCGGCTTGCGGGTCTAGGGCCTAGGTTTATGTGGAGCGAAGCTCTCCATGCATCCGGCTTAGGGCTTAGAGGGTCTAGGGCTAGCCGCGGATGAGTGGACTTCGTACTGAAAAAACAGCTCGCAGCTTTGTGCATTAGGCTGTTCTGCAGGTTTGTAGTTTCAACCGCAAGCAGAAGCATCACAAGCATCCCTGCAAAAGACCCAGCTCAGCGCGCAAGCCCTAGATTGCAAACCGTCAACTCAACTATACCCAAACCCCCAACCCGATTTCCTATATTCCAAAGTGCCATCTAAGGCCCAACCCGATTTCCTATATTTCAAAGTGCCATCTAAGGCACACAATGACTCAAGTATCCCCAAACCCCCAACCCGATTCCCTATATTTCAAACCCTAAACCCTAAACCCTAAACCCTAAACCGTTGCCATCTAAGGCACACAATGTTGTAGAGGCCGCGGTACAGGTTTCCACCAGATGGGTTGCCTGCTGCATCCTGACCATGGCGGGAAGCGTACCTTGAGAGCGACGATTAGTAGAAGGGTTAATACTTAGACTAGGGTTTAGGGCTTAGGGTTTAGGGTTTAGGGTTTAGGGTTTAGGGATGTTTAGGGTTTAGGGTTTATGGAATACTTAGACTTGGGTTTGGAGGTGCCCCGAAAGACCATTCTTCTTATAGCTTTTAGGACCCCCGAACCCCGACAAACCTCCCAAACCCTACACTGAGACCCCAAACCGCGAACCCCTAAACCTAAATGCCAGACCCTCACCCCTGAACCCTAAACCCCTAACCTCCAAACCCTAAACCCTAAACTTTAACCCGTCCTCAGGCTACTACTTGACCAGACCAGCCCCTTCCAGCAGCCTTATCTTAAGCCACATAATAGTAAGATACCTTTTTGGGTGCTGTCTCCGTTCTCTCCTCTAGACCCTAAACCCCAAGCCCAAGATCCTTCATAAGAGCCGTATTGAAACTCGATAAAGTCCTGCGAAGCTCCATAAGAAGCCTCTGAAACCCGTGGTGTAGATCCTTTGGGGTGCCAATATAGGGGCCTCACTAATTTCAATAGGGTTTAGGGGGGTATCTTCTGCTATAATTACAGTAAGAAGCCCCCAGAATATTCTAGATAATGATCAAGGCATACATTGCTTGCGACTTGGGAGTTTCCGAAAATTGGGGGTACCTTATTCTGGGGTCCTTATACTAAGGATCCTACTATTTGGGGTACTATATCAGAGTCCCCAATTTTCGGAAACCCCCAGATAATGATTAAGGCATACATTGCTTGCGACTTCTGATCCTAGGCCGAGGTGCCTTTTGTAGCGCTCGGTCCTCAGTGGTTCAATTTGCTGCCGCAGGCCGAGCCCAAAACTTTGGTTGGTTTAGGGCTTTAGGCCTTAACCCTAAACCCTAAACCCTAAACCCTAAACCCTAAAGGGCTTGGTTTGGGGTTTAGGATTTAGGGCTCAAGGGTTTGCGGGTGTCGGGGTTTAGGGCCGTAAGGGGTTTAGGGTTTGGGGGCTTAGGGCTTTAGGGTATGGGATGGTTTAGGAATAGGGCTTCACAGACCCTTCACGTTGCCTGGTACCACAACACCATAAGGCCTAAAGTACAAGAGCCGGGTGGTGGTCAAAACTGCGGCCTGCTCGCGGGCTTTTGCGCGACCTACCCTAAACCTTAAACCCTGAACCCTGAACCTGACAACAACTTCCAAGTGCTTGTAAATGACCCTCGCCTGCTACATTTGACGTTCTTGTCGGTCCAACACCTGAAAGGTCTCTCACAAGTCACAGAACTCGCCATCATGAGCACCCATGAAACTTTTAAAAAAAATAAGAATCAAAATGTTCAGGAACGGATTTCGGACCTATGTAAGTCGGGCTGGGCGCTGAGAGATTTAGTTTCTGGGCCTCGGGGTTGCGGGGACTTTTGGGGACTCTAAGGATTTAGGGCGCAGAGTTGAGAAAGTTCAGGGTTTGTAGTGTTGTGGGTTCTGGTTCTGCTTCGGGGTTGGGGATTTTAGGGCGTATGGTTTACGGGCTTTGGGGCTTCGAGTTTGGGATTCACGGCCAGGCAGCATCATCAGGAACTTTCGAGCAATTTCCAGGCTTCTGCAGTTGGACAACCTGACGGGAGGAGGCCCACCGTCATCCCAGTGCTCTTTATTTAGGGCTTAGGGTTCAGGGTTTAGGGTTTAGGGTTTAGGGTGAAGAGTGTCGGAATAACCTACATCAAGGTCTTGCCTCTACGTCTTGATGCTTCCTTTGCGAGACCGGGATTCAAAACAGGTATTTAAAGAAAGGCCCGCGCCACATGTCCCCGCGACACCCGAGCTTTGAAGAAATCACTGTCTCGGAGCCGGAAGTGGGGTGAAGCTTTTTGTAGAACTCTTATGAAGCCCTACAACCCTACAAAACCTGAACCATAAACCCTAAACGCTAAACCCCAAACCCCTAAACCCTTGACGCCCCCTCAGCCCTGAATCCTTACTTCGACCCGTGATCCTTCAAGCAAAGCCAGAGGCTGAACTCGCAAACGGCCGGGTGGCACATAAGGCTCCGCCCCGACCAACTCCGGAGATTCTGCCAGCAGTGCTAGGCCGCCTCTGCAACACGGCCGTATCTCTCTGTTCTCTTAAAATTTAGGGTCCGTATCTCTCTGTTCTCTTAAAATTTAGGGTCCGTATCTCTCTGTTCTCTTAAAATTTAGGGTTTAGGGTTTTCAGGGCTAATTAGTTTGATGTAAAGTAGTTATATTCTATGCAAGGGCGGGCTGGGTCCTGGGGGTCCTGAGCTGCAGCGCGACAGTAGGCCAGGACTTGCACAGCCTGACATTGGCACGGTCCTGCGTGAAGGATGCGTCGGAGGGCACCCGACTCCGTGTCCCCCAAGACGGGAGTTTAGGGTTTAGGGTTTAGGGTTTAGGGTTTAGGGTTTAGGGTTTAGGGGGGCTTAATAAGTAAGATCATTGTCTGAAGTGGCTACCCCGCGACTGTGCAAGGCTTCCAGAATGGTAGAGTCACTAGGAGCTTTTGGCCCGGAATTTTTGGACGAACACGTGCCACTTCAGCGTGAGGAGCTAGCACTTGCCACTCTGCCGCCTCCTCGACTTGCGGCAGCTGCAGTTGCAGCTGCATGAGGGCAACACAGGAGCGAGCCCGCTGTGAAGGTATTCAGATCTTACCCGGCGCACCCCGAGGAGAAGCATGCTGGCAGTTGATCTGCTGTACGTTCTTGAGGCGCTTTTGCACTCCGCTGCTGTCTCCGCCACATCGCGAATGGCCGCACGTCTGCACGGACCCATCGCCCAGGATGCCCTCAAAGGCGGCAATGTTGCTGCCGATGTGAGTCTGGGTTACCAATATCTGCAGAGTCGGGCTCTCATCGGTCCGTGTCCCCTTCAACACATGACCATCCGAAAGGACGTCACCGACGTCGTCCAAGAGTCGCCACTTTCGCACGCCGAGCGCGTGTAACACCCGAGCTTTGAACGTACCCACGGCCACGTTGGAGAAGACTGTCACCGAAGCCTGTCTCCCAGATAACGTGGTCACGCAGACATTCATGGCTCGAAAGACTTTATACTTGCACGACCATTTGGTGTTCCGACTGCCCGCGGCCTGTTTCTTGACGACGACTCCAACAGTCTCAGGGAAATGTGTCGTTTTCTCGCATCATGCTGCTATCCTGCCACGGACTCTACGGTCCGCAGACAAGACAAGGCATATGTCCCCATTATGGTAACTTAAACTAAGCTACGATAATGCTCAGGAAACCCCTATTATTTGCTATATATCCCCAGTATGGCAACTTTAGTTTGATTAAGTTGCCTTTAAATAAAAGCAACCCAACCCTAAACCCAAAACCCCCCCCAAAAAAAAGGCCGGGCCGGCCTTTGCGAATGAGGAGCTTGGAGACCTCGCCGACTAAAGGGTTCCCAGTGAGCCCGCTGAAGGCATCGGATCCTCCACCTCAGAAAGGCAAGATGATATAGAGGAGTTTGGGGTTCCTTATATAAACTTATATACCGGTTTAGGGTTTTGGGGTTAGGGTTTAGAGGCCTTAGTATTTTTGATAGGGTTTTGGGGTATATATTCCAACTTTGGGGCTTCTACTATAGGGGGTCTATGTTTCGGGTTTAGGATTTAGGGTTTAGGGGCGCATTGATAACCCCCTGGATTTACGGGCGCTAGTACTATTAGGATCCCTACTATATATAACCCCTGAACAGGAAGGTGGTGTTTAAATGGGGGGGGTCTAATCATGCTGAGGGCTGAGGATATAGCGGTAAAGTATACCGGGGGTACAGGGGATACGACTACGAATTGTTCAAGCTCCTGTTTTGGGGTTCCGGGTTCGGAATACCGCCTTGCGCCACACCTCGGCGAGCGATGGTTCGCACAGTCCCCAAAGCCTAAACCGAAAAACTGAGAGGTTTCTGTTCCGGATGTTCTCAAATTGAAACCCCCTACAAAGTCCGCTTCTCAAACTTCAAACAGGAAAACCCTTAACCTCAGTCCTAAAGCCCTAAACCGCCAATGTCTAGGAATCCGACGCTCAGTCTTGATTCATGGTTTTGAGGCCAAGAAGCAACATGCTGAACGCTCAAGGCTTCAACTAAAGCCCCAACTCATGAAACCTGGCTATAGGATTAGTGGTTCAGGGTCTTGTAGGATGTCTTGGCAGAACAAACGTTTGTCATCTTCTGTAGTACAACAAGTTCTGGGGAAAAATCACAAGGGGACACTATTCCTCAATCCATTACAATCCCAACTATCCATCCCCTGAGGCATGGGCACTGCAGCGCGATGCGGAGAGCCGATACGGGCTGTGCGCTCCGCCGGTACTGGGTAGGGCTTCTTCAAGGGCTCCAACTACCAAAGTGGCATATGCTCTGTCCTCATCGTATACGTTGGCAGCAAAAGAATTCGAACTACCAGACTAAGCCTCTCTATGCTCTGTCCTTATGACGGCCTTTATGGGACAAGACAGAGTCTATGGGTAGATGGAGTCCACGGGTTCGGGATTTTGAGGCAGGCGTGGGCTTCGGGGGCGGCGGTCCTTGCGGTGTAATGTAGGGGCCTCAATAATTACCTATACTGTTTTGGGGGCTCCTTATTGTAGTTATGGTATAGTGGGCCCCAAAACCCTATTCTAATTATTAAGGCCCCTAAACCCTAAACCCTTATAGTAGCCCTTATAGACCCCGGTTTAAGGAACCCTTTAAAGGAACCCCTGTTCTAATTATTAAGGCCCCTACATTAAGGCATAGGTCCCTATGCCTAAATCCTAAACCCTAAACATTAAAGCATGAACCCTCAACCCTTTCCAACCCGAAGCTGAGCTCTTGTAAAGGCTTAAAGGCGGCAGCTTAGAAGCTAGAGGGTCTAGGGTTTAAAGTTTAGGACTCGGAATCTAAACTAAGTTCCTTTATAGATTCCAGGAAACTTTAGGATTCAAGATTTAAGCTGCAACTAAGCTCCTTGACAAGAACTTTCTGGTCACTCCAGGTCGCGGGAAGGATGCTATGGAGCCACCCCAAGCCCTAAATTCTAGTTTTCACGTTGAGACCGAAACAGAAACAGTACCGCTTTTAAGCAATGTCCTGCAACGGGGGATAGGTTTCTTCAAGAGTTTAGAAAGGGGTGATAAGGTACATGGCTACAGCTACACAGGGTATAGCGGTACGTAAACCCTAAACCCTAAACCCTCTGCAGTTCCGGATTCTAGTCCTGGCCCGCCGAAGGCAGCAAGGAGCTGCGGACCGTATGCTCTGCGCGGGAGAGATCTTCGCGCCAGCTGCCGCTGAGCACCAGGTAGTCGTGCCTCAATTCTAAGGTTGAACCCATGGGCCCCTAGTAGGGCCCTTAAGGCTGGGATCCTTATATACCTACTATGCACCCTCTATGTACCCTTAAGGGCCACTAGAAAGGCCTAAGGGTGCATATTAGGGGCCCATACTTCTAAGCTTCGATCAATAGAGTTTCGGGCCTAGGCTTTCGGTTTGGGATTCAGGCTGTCGGATTCAGGTTCCGGGAGAAGGGATAAGGGTTGACGGTTTAAGGTTGGAGGGCTTTAGGGGGTTAAGCTTAAGGGCTTAAGGGCTTAGGGGATCTGGTTTACATTCCTACAGACAAGAGGGGCCTGAATAACTGGTTTGGGTCCCGTTTTATCAGGACTTCACTCTTATGAGTTTATTCGCAAAACGACGCGGGGATCCAATTTCCTTACTGCGCGCGTTGTAGCTGTACATTCGGGGCGATAACTTACTAATCTTAAGGACTTGCGTCTAGAGGTACAGTACCCCTAAACCCTAAACCCTAAGCCCTAAACCCTAAGCCCCCAAACCCTAAACCCGAAACCCTAATCCATCCTTATACAGGGCTAAGACATGTGCTTCAAGTTCAAGAAGGGATCCTTGCTCTGAAAGAGGGTCGTCAACGGATCGCAGAATCAATCGTGAATATTGCGCTCGTTTAGGGTTTAGGGTTTAGGGGGTCCAGCAGCTAGGGCAGCTAGGGTTAAGATCTTGAGGTCTTGCGGTTTACACCAGGGTTTCGGGGCTTAGGCTTTTTTTGTTTTTAGGGTTTAGG